CCTTCTTCTCCATGTGGTTCTGAGAGACAAGAAAGTAAGGGAGGCTGGGACCCAGTTCTCCGTCTCTTCTCTCTGTGCAGTGTTCCCGAAGAGCACGACTTTCTATGCTTCATGAATAGAGTTCATTTGTAACGTGGCTAAAAATATTTTTCTATCTTTCGCTTTTGGAAAACAGTAAAGTTTTTCCATATAAGCTCCCCGTGGATGTCCTTAGTCCCATTTCCTCTCCTCAGGAAGCACAGACTGAGCTACACCTTAAAGCACTCAGCTCAATGGAGGCCTCAGTTTCCAGGTGCCAGTCCAGACGCACCTGCCAGGAGCGTGGAATTGAGGCACCAGGCCTCCGGCCCCTTCTGCACATGTCCCCAGTTCCCTTGGAACGGAACTTTGTGGACATTTTTTCCTCATTGTTTTATTTCACTCTGGACCTTGGAGCACACCACATGGGTGGTCTGAGAGGCTCAGAAGGATGTCTCGGTGCCCACTCTCACCTCTGCCTCACCTGTCCCAGAAGAATGACATTGCTACTGAGATTTCCACATTGGTTTTCTCAACTGGTTTAGGAAAAGTGGAACAAATAGTAGAAAAAAGAATCTTTGGGTTGGGGATTTTGCGCAGCTCTACAGTGCCTGCCTGGCAAGTGCAAGGCCCTGACTTTAATTCCCGATACCAAAAAAAGAATCCTGTCTGTTGGGTTTCTTTCAAGCATTTCTTTCAAGCGTTTCTTACCTTTCTGATGTTCTCTTTCCCAGTTGGCGGGAAGGATGGGTTGTTCTGAAGGAAAGGGATCAGTAGGATAAAGAGCACCACTCCTGACACAAAGGCGAGGATCAGGTCCACTGCCCAGCTGGTGGACACCATGCTCAGCCATGTGGAACCAACACTTCCCAGAAGAAAGAGAGGATTCTCCATCGTCTGAACTGAAGTGGCCCCTCAGTCTACTACTGAGCCTGAGAGTTTGCCCAGTGAGCGGGGGTGGGGCCCAGGCCTGCATCACAGAGCTGTGGTCTCCCCATCACAAAGGGGTACTGAGCAAAAAGAAGAGGCCACACAGTCACCACTCCCACCCTCCAGCCCAGCACATCTCCACCCTCCCAAGTCTCCAGATTCCTTCTTCTGAATCCAGCTGCTCAGCAGTCTGATGGTGCCCCGCACATTTTCAGCTACCACCACCATCCTGAAGCCCGGGTGGGACTGCTGCCTCAGGGTCTCTGCCTGAGCTACAGTACTTACATAGTTTTTGAAACTTTGAGTTAGCTCTTAAATCTTATTTCATAGGAATTGTCACACTCAGGATCTCACCTTTACACCTCCAAAATTTTCCCATGTTAAGTTTTTGTGTTGCATCAACTTATTCTTTTTTTTTTTTTTGGTGGAAATGGGAATTGAACTCAGGCCCTTGTACTTGCCAGGCAAGCACTTATTCTACTGAGCTATCTCCTGGCCCCTCAACTTATTCTTGAAGTTTCTTTCATACTTATTTAGCTCACTGAGTTTTGAATAAAAATTTTTATATATTTTTCAATTAATTTTCTCCTTTCAACTACTTAGATCTAAATAAAAAATGAGTTTAATATATTGATGTAAAATCATAAGCTAAATGTAAATTCGAAACGAACCTTCAAAGTATATTCTTGCATAT